GTCCTGACCGTGTAGCTCAGTTGAAAGAGCATTGGGCTAGTATTCCAAAGGTCGTAGGTTCGAATCCCCCCGTGGCCGGGCATATTTTTCAAGCTCGCCCGGTGTGGATATACACTCAGAGTAACACCACAAATATCATATTCACCTGAGTACACTACACCAACACAAAAAAAATTCATATTATTAGAAACCATTGGTATTGAAGGAACTAGATACTGTTCCGAAATATCACTTACTCGAACCGTCCTGACCGCGTAGCTCAGTTGGAAGAGCATTGGGCTAGTATTCCAAAGGTCGTGGGTTCGAATCCCACCGTGGCCGGGCATATTTTTCAAGCTCGCCCGGTGTGGATATACACTCAGAGTAACACCACAAATATAATATTGTTTATATTCGAGAGGACACATACTTCGTTATCCAGGGATGGAATTTTATCATCGCATCGTGAATTTTCAATGGTAATTAGACTCAAATTGTTTTTATTAAGATCAGTGCATTGTTCGCTGTCATGGGGTGACGATTATTTTATAATACTAATTGCATTCAACGATACACTGTCTTGGTTTCTATTGTCATTATGGGGCATACTATTGAATATTTTCTTTTCTAGGAAGAGCAATTTTGACTTGAAGAATAAATTCTCCTCATTAAGTCGACAAATTTCTTCGTGTTGATTTCTTACAGCAGATTCCAGCTCTTTCTGTCTTGATCGAAGCAAGTTTATCTCTGACACAGACTCGTTTTGAGATATTGCAGTACACAGTCGAGCTTCCAAAATTGTCATATAAATCCATTGTCTTTAAACTAATTTGGTGTGTTGTTTCGTGGCTAGCTTTGACCTCCATCTTACTGTTCGATCAATGCACATAAACCTCGGTTATCCGGATCATACGGTCAATGTTCCTCGATTACGCAGGGCTCTCAACGAGCTGTCAAGTCCAGTCACCGCCAACCTCGCTTACCCATCACTAGAGAATTACTTTTCGCGATTTCCGTATTCTGATTCAAGCCTCGGAAGCAAGAGCACGGATGTTTTGGGCAGCTTTCTTTTTAGCTTTTTTTCGCTTTGGGGAGCATTTCAATGCCCAACACGATCTCTGAATCTCCAATAAGGCATTCATCGCTGGTTCGCTGTCAGGCTTCACATTGAATCTTTGAAGAAAGATCAGTTTGCATCGGGCTGTTTTGTATATATTGGGCGTTCGGTCAACGATACATAGCGGTGTGTGGTTCATCCCTTGATCGTTGGCCAGACGGTTCTCCACTTACCTCGGCACAAGATAATTTTTATTTGCGTCATCTTTTGGATAGAGCTTAGCCAAGCGAGTAATATTACTCCAGTAACAGTTCTCGTATTGGAGCGGCAACAGCAGCCGCTACAGCTGGCCTAATAACTTGATCCAAACGTCAGGCAGGTGTCCCAGTTGATTTGGACCCCTGTAGATTTGGACCCCCGGTCCATATCCACTAGTAGATTTGGACCCCCGGGTCCACTAGTAGATATGGACCCCCGTTGGCGGATTTGAACCCCCTTCAAAAGTTAAATATATGTAATGTGAACACAATAATATAAACCAAATTCATAATAGTGATCAATCTGAAGTATTTATAGTCACTTAAATATTTGTGATAAAGGCCACAAAACGTAAAATAGAAAAATAGAGTACAATCGTAGAAATTGCATACAGCATTTGGATCGACACGAAACACGATTTCCATGAATGTTTTTAAACAATAAGTGATGGCGGCTCATCTGAATGGAAGCCTGCGACTATCCACTAATGGTTTTAAGAAAAGCTATAGAAATAGAATATTAGAGCAACGCGATTCCATGAAAATGTTTAAACAATAAGTGATGGTGACTCATCTAAATGGAAGCCTTTTTAGCTATTTTGCTCATATAAACGTCATATTACGTATATACATGAGTTTTTAGTGTGTTTATTTATCCTTTTATAGTTGTATACACACTTTCCATGCATTTGGATCTTTCTAGTTTACTTGTAGTTTAATATTTTTGAATTTGGATCTCACTGGCAATGAAAAGTTTTCTATTCACAATAAATGACTATGTGTGGTTGATAAGTAGCTACGGGTATCGGAAAACTAATTGAATTTAACATATTCACCGTTATTGGGGTTGTTCTTAGTGTAGAAAACTGTTTAAAAAAGGGGGTCCATATCCGCTAAAGGGGGTCCACATCTGCTAGGAGATTTGGACCGGGGGGTCCATATCTACTAGGAGATTTGGACTGGGGGGTCCAAATCTACTGGGGTCCAAATCCGCTGTGACAGTCTGCTGGTTTCTTTGCCAAATTCATCGTACATATAAGGCAGCTTCGTGGTAGGTCCGCTACCGACTCCTCCATTCTTTCATGATTTGCATACCACCATCATAAAGCAGTAGAAATTAGCTCGTGGTGTGTGACATATTTTAAGCTATACAGGTCAAAAGCCGAAAATTCTGCCTACCGCTGCTGGGTTTCGAACACGTGACCTTCGAAATGCTAGCTCGACGCTCTTCCAACTGAGCTATAGTATACGGTAAAGTCCGATAGAGGATTGGATGGAAGCTTGTATATTGGAGGGGCTAGCTTGTCCCATGGCAGCCTCTCACCACTTAGGTTAGATAATTACAAAATAAAGCACCAGTCAGAATAATAAATTATTAACAAACGAAAGAAACCAGACGTCATACTGTAAATTGTATTTCCAATTGTCCTTTTCTCTAATCTGAATTGTAGTGTTGTCAGTAACATAATATCCACTGATTACTTTATCCCGGCTGCTTACCTCATAATAAAAATCACCTACTCCCAACATTTCTGCCCAGAATCCTTTGCTCGCTAAAATAAACAAATATTTTTTTGTCTAATTAACACATTGGTCATCTTCTATGCGTAACAACAGAGCACATACAATAACACAATTTTGATTGTTGCTTATCAGGTGTTGTTGCTGCTGTTGCTGCACTTGCTATAAAATTACAGACCACTAGCTCAAATTACAAATAACAGTGTTATCTGTTATTGTGATATTTTAAATCGTTTTCACAAATAAGCCTTTTTAAAAACTAAATGTTGTTTTTGCGCGCCAAACCATTGTTTGTTGAAAGATTTTAATGAAAATGCAATGTATAAAATTACTGAATTTGGTTCTTGTGATTTCCGGAATTATGGTAAGTGTTATCAGTACCTCCACCTTTATAATTATAGATATCACAAAAACCTCATCCAGTAACTGTATATTGTGTAATACACATTACACTAATACGTACATGCTAAAGGGTCAACTCCAATTCTTGCACACATTTGCTGAAAATGACCTCGAAATTCAGCATTTTTCTTGATATCTGATTTGTGTTTGGTAGCAAATTCTTCAAGATAAGTTTTAAATGATTCCAGCTGTTTGGACATCTAAAGTTTAAACACAATAGCATCAACAGTTACATCACAGTTATGTTATTTGAATTTTTCATGCAACTCGAAAGACATTTATCATTATACTTTATTTGTAAAAATAAAGCCAACCTGAGATATCTGTGCATCAGCAATAGCACTTCCTTTCTGTTCATACTTGGCCTAAACACAGACACATCCAGGCATTAAAATAGCGTGTTTTTGACACACTTTGTGTCCTTGTAAAACGAAAATATGTCCTTGTAAATTGAAAATTGTACTTGGTCTTGGGAATAAAGCCCGGAAAATCCATTTCCAGTCACTTCCCACAGCAATATTGTTTAAAGTAATCATGTGTTTATTTCCTGCATGATGATAGCCAGATATATATTTCTGGTTTATATATATTTCTGGTTTTTCTGTAGTTTTTACATGTCAAGAAACGCCTGTAATTCTGTAAAATTACCACCGGCTTCAATAGACAACTTGCATGCTAGCCACTAATTTTTGATCTAGGCAAAAAAAAGTATATTCCCGTAAAGAGCTTATTAAAATTAATAAAATTGCAAAATTTGGTTACGAAATGTTGTAAAATACGGAAAATATAGCCTTGTGAAGTTTGCATATTTTGTATATGTTATATATTACGTGCGGAAATTGTTACCATTTTTGAGCTGAAAATGGTAACAATTTCCGCACGTAATACAAACATACTTATACAAAATTTGCAAACTTTGCAAGACTATATTTTTCAAGCTTTACAACATTTCGCAAACATGCAAATTTTGCAATTTTACTAATTTCATTATGTTCTTTTTAGCTGTGGTGTTTGTTTCCCTTCTCTTTACTTAGATTAAAATTTAGTCTAACATGCAAGTTGTGCATTATTTTCCTATACGCGGTTTCATGATAATGGCAATATCTGCAGAAATCATGCTACAAAAATCAATCAGGACTCGCTTTTAAGTTTCATTCGACAACTGAAAATTTAATGAATAATTTAGACTGCATGATTTATGTACTTGTTAGATAGCCTCAACCATTGATCTAAATAAATCACATAGTCTTTCAAAACATGGTTTGGAAACTCCTGCTAAAGTCTTTGTTCTTTTTGTTCGCGTTTATGCAGTTTTGTGCACGCCAATGAACACATTGTATTTCAGTATAATGAACGAATCATCCAATAGCAACGTTTCAGTTCAGTCATTCAACCATGTTATTTAAATATTAATAAACCTAAAACAAAGGATGTGCGCACGGTGTAAGGTATGGCTGAACATAAACTCCCAGCTCATTACAACCGCTTTGAAGTTTAGTACTGAGTTTTCAGAAAGACTATGATCTAAACAGCCCAAAAGTGCCATAACTGCGCTTCTGTGACCCACAAATTTTAAAATATTTACTAATACCGCACTAATATATGCATTAGTCACATTTACATAACAGTCTTATTTCGTAGCTCGAGATATGAAGTTATTGTTCAAGTTACGGTGAAAATTAAAAGTTATTGATGGCCCTCATTTTACCTATTTGAAACAAATTTTTGCCTTAAGGCAGCACTGAACTTTAACGAATATTCTTAGTTGACGAGTATTTGTGCTCAAGTCAGTCTGCCACACTTCCAAGTGATTGTTGTGCTTGCATGGCGTGGAGGTAAAGTGTGTCCTTTTAAAAAATAGGTACGCTATGCGTACACGCAAATAGCAACAAATCATTGACCCACCCTACCCTGTCGCCAAGCACTAGCTAGACTAGAATATAATCAGAAAATAATATATGCGTGCATAAACAGGTGATCATTGATATACCGGTAATTTGTGTTAAAACGGTTATTCCAGATTAAAATATTTACAATTCTAATTGTAGGATCATACTTAATTGCACACTTCCAAATGCAAATCCATCGTAGTAAAAACTCACAGTAACTGTGTCTTATGCGTTTTTCGCATGACAAATCGTACAAGCCATAATAATATAGGTATAGATTTCATGTAGCCCTCATTATAGTATATCAAAATATAATGACATTAGGGTACCTTAGGGTGTGTTAGGGTACATTAATCTACCTTAGACATCCCTAGAGTAAATTAGCCTACCTTAGCCTAATGTAGGGTACATTACCTTACCTTATCATAGCCTACCTCTGGGTACCTTAGCCTACCTTGGAGTACCTTAGAGTATCTTAGGGTACCTTAGCCTACCTTGGAGTACCTTAGCTTACCTTGGAGTACCTTAAAGTACCTTACTGCTTACCTCAAAGTACCTTAGCCTACATTAGGGGAACTTAGGGTACCGTAGCCTACCTTGGAGTACCTTAGCCTACCTTGGAGTACCTTAGAGTACCTAATTAGCCTACCTTAGGGTACCTTATCCTACCTTGGAGTACCTTAGCCTACTTTGTAGTACCTTAGCCTACTTTGGAGTACCTTACCCCCCCCCCTCGCCAACATTTTTGGGAAGAAAAGGTCCCCAAAGCAAAAATTTGCCCCAGGGCCCCGAATTTCTCTGATAGGCCCTGTGGTTTGTGTAGTGAGTTTTGGGGGCATTTGCATCATAGCGCTCATGTAAGGAAGCAAAAAACTTTTAAATTTTATTTTTATTATATGTGTTGAATATGAATACTGGCACTGAAGGTGCAAGCCATCTAGAGGGGTCTTTGGATTTCCTGAAGCTCAGATAAGCTATTTCTAGCATTTTAAGGAGTATTCCCACCAGCAAGAAATTAACCTTATAAACAGTGACACAATTACTGTAATTTTACAGTTTCCCAAATGTAATCCAGTCCCAATAAGGCAACATGATGTGATGATGCAGTAATGAAAATGTGTATGGTATAGTATTATCATTCACCACACTTCTAATTCTACAGTTATACTGTATTACATCTCAGTGTCACTGAAGAGCAAGATAGGGTGGTCTCTTTGGAGTATCTTTGCTTGGAAAAACTAAACTAGAATTTTGTCCTAAAATGCTATTTCATGCCTTGTTCCATGAGCAAATTACAGACCTCTCAACTTTGCAGAGAAGTTAAGAGTAAGATTGGGGATGTGGATGACACCTTTGTAAACGTCCCGGGGTCTAGCTGAAATGGCATTTCGTACATTATGAGAGTTGGTGTTTTTTAATGAAATACATTGCTTCATAACGTCCTTTAAAAGACAAGGCACTTTAGTTACAATAACTGTATTTCTGTGACATACAGTAATAAGCTTTAATTTGCCTTTGATAGTTTACATATATAATTCTAAATTTCTGCTCGGACTGATTCTGCTTTTTGTCTCCGCCATTTTTACATATGCGTACTATTTTCTATCCAAATTGCGGGCAAAATGTCGGGCTATATATATGCAAGAACAATAACACGCGATTAGATATTCGATTCGCGATCCATATAATGAATACAATATTATATTATTGAAAAAATACTATGAAACTGCTATATGGGTGAGATTTACTAAATGTGGCGTGAGAGCGTGAGAGTGAAGCGAATTGCGTGAGACTCACACCGAATGTGTGAGAGTTGAGAGGTCTGAAATTATTTCAGTCATGGTTTAGGTTTCTGGTGATGTTTAAATTTCAGTCCCCAAATTCTGGCCTACCGAGTCAATTGACTCGGTTGACTGATAGCTAGTTACGGGCCTGCAGATGATAGTCAAATTCAGAAATGTTAACAACTTAACATCATTTTCTCACTTTGACATATTATAATTGCTGGTTGACCACCTACTGCAGGTAGTTCTTAGCCAGACTGCAGAGTATGGCAGTTTTCGACGAGATCTCAGGTGTGTAAGACAAAAATTCAGGTGTGCAAGTGTGCAATCCTCAGTTAACGTAGTCAAGTGTGCACTTGTAAATAGCTGCATGTTCTAATGATATTAAACAATGATTGTTATTTGTACAAATAACTAAAATTTCTGCCTCTCAGGAAAACAAAACGTGGTCCAAATTCTGACGAACAAACAAGAATATATATTTCGATCGGAGTTAAAAGTCATTATGAACATGTACAAAATAGCGTGTTTTTGACACACTTTGTGTCCTGTAAAAGGAAAATGTGCATGTCCTTGTAATTGAGTTGTAAATGGAAAAGTGTTTCACTCGAAAATGCCATTTCCGACAATGTAGGGACTCCAAATTTCAAAAATTTTCCGCTCGGCACCAACCATGGTGGCGCCTCAAGGAAATCGGACCAATTATAAGTTCTCTTGTGCCCAAGCTTACATGCTATACGGTTTTGTTTAATCATAACAACCTGATGATCGCAAAACTCTGCTGTAGATAGAAATTCGAAACTTTAATGGACATTTTTCATTTGCGCTCATGAATCAGCGTTCCCGATATTCAGGTGGTTGTTATATTACACTTGTCTTAGAAGTCCTTATTTTAATGCCTGACAAAACTGGAAAATATTTTAAATATGTTTAAGTGTGCAATACCATTGGCCAAAAAAAAACTCGGGTGTGCACTTGCCGTACTCTGCAGTCTGGGTTCTTAGGGACCTCACTGGGGCAAATTGCCGACTGGAGGGGCCAGTAAGAGGGCTGGGGGGGGGGGGACATGTCCCTCCTAGTCTATATGTTAAAAGAGGCCCTGATCGATCATCGATTTAATCGATTATCTACCATTAGCATTATTATTAAAATATTTGATGTTGAAATATTGAAATATGATTGTTAGGTTTGTATCGTCTGTTTCTATACTACCTTTGCTAATCTTTGTTTGTTAATAGCACCAATACCTCCAGGACCACGTCTCATTGTCTTGCCGGGTTTTTATTTCATGACACACTGAAATCTTGAAATATATTTATACATGTTTTTTTTTAAACTTTTTGTTTATGATAGGGATATTTGGGATATTAAAGTAGTAAGCGGGACTATTTGGAATATTCTTGGACACGATTGTGGAGTCAATGAAGAATATTATTTACTACTTGGTTTCAAACACGAAGAAAACATATTTAAAACTCAATATAGTTAAAACAAGACAAGTTTTAAAAGATACCTTTGTTCAATGTTTATTTTACAAAAAAAACTTTTGTCTTGTTGCATGTGGCCTTTTATATGTTTGATTTCATTGATAACCCTAAAACGACCCTCTATGTCCTACGATGCCACATTGCCACATCGTGTATTGTTGTTTCAAGATGGCGGATGATTTACACGCGAAGGGCAAAGATCTTAAAGATTTAAAGGTATGTTTCACTGTTTTGCGTCGAGACATTTACATCTTTATCACAGAATATGAACGAAATCATAATTGCTGCTTACTTAACTGCATAGTAGAAGTGTGAAGTTATTGGTTATTTAAAAATCTGAGTATAATATTATTTCCTACCCAACACGTCTCCAACAGGCCATTTATATGATTCATGACCACGTTCCAATTTGAATTTGGAAAGCAAACTTGTGTTTAGGCCAGGGCAAACAACATATCAAGCTCTATTATAAAACAGGATTATGAAAATGTAACAGACTATCACAAGTCACATCTACAAAATGGCCATAACATCCAATAAACCACAAAAATGGGCTACATTCCAATGTTAATGGCTGTGCCCCTGTATGGAATGAGACATTTTTGTGCACCAGATATGTGCGCCAAATACTAGTAAATATGTTGCTGTATATTGCTATATTGCATGTCCGGCACAGAGCGTTGACATTCCATACTGGGCTGTGCCGTTGTGGAACTGGCCCAGACTGGCCAGGGTGCATTTTAAGTGGCCTATGCCGAAGATCTTCGGCGTGAGTTTGGCAAATTACAATACTATCTATAGTTAATATTGGCGTATCTTCGGCGTAGACTTTACATGGAATGCACCCTGGCAGACTGGAAACTTTGCAGTGCACATGGAAGATCTTCCATGTGCACACAAAAATTCTTGTGTGCAAATTCTATCTTCAGCAAATTCTATCTTCAGCGGAACCACAGGTATTTTTTTTAGGCCTAAGTGTTGGGGGCGCAAAATTTTGTGAAATAAAATTTGTCTGTTCGCATTTGTTTCAGGTGGTGGAATTGAAAAAAGAATTGCAAGAAAGAGGCTTGAGCATATCAGGGAACAAAAGTGACTTAATAGCTCGTCTTGAAGAATATATCTTAAAGCAGGGTATGGTAGAGATATATGAGTTGTTCAAAGCAAACTTGTGCTATGCCCAGGCAAATAATAGTTGGGGGAGGACTTAAGATATTCTAACACGAATGGCTAGAAAAGAAAATCTCACACCATTCCTCCAAGCAAGCTGTATTGTAAATCCACTTCAAAGTTTTGTGCACAGATTGCACCAGCTGGTAGTTTGCAACTCCTAAAAAAGTGTAAAATGTTATTTCTCAAACTCATTAATAATGCAAGCACAAAAAAGGAAATGAGCGGCATATTGTTGATATATTAATAAGCACCACAAATCATGTGGCCCAGTTTCTGTTAAATTACTTTATTCAAGCTGGTCAAGCTTTTCAAAAAGCTTAGAATGCCACTAACATAAAAAAACTTTAACCTCTTATGCAAAATTGAGGAAATTTCACAATGGTAAAGTAACTTTTTCAAATGATTTTCGTTTCTTCACCTTCTCTTTGAGACATGAAATACAATTAATAGGTGCATCATCCTGACATCCTCAGACAAATTGAAACTTAGATTGATTTTCAACAATAATTTATTACACTTGAGAATGAATAATATATTAGTGTCACACAAACTTTCAAATCATTAGTATTGCCTAACACACAAACTGAAATATCTCAGAAACAAAACCTTCAAAATAAGTTACAGTACTTTATACTACAAAGCAAGTTTAAAAGATAAATATTAATGCCCAGCAGAAAATATGTAAAAGAGAAGTAGAGGGACCAAACTGCCTTGTAAGTTGAGAGAGGGTTTGAGTTTGTTAATGAGAAGACTTTCTCGAATGAGGAGTTTGTATGGAGAAGAGCAATAAGAAATAATCTTAAAATCATTAAGAGAGGTGTTGTGGCCAGTGCTATCAAGATGGAACTCGATAGCACCACGATTTTCAACACACACTCTGGTGTTTCCATTAATAATAGACCCCTTGTGTATAACATATTTGTTCCTACTCTATGTTGTTCAGGAGATGATCAGGAAGAGATAGAAGTTGAAGTAGGTGTATTTGACAGTGAGATTGAGAATATTGGAGGAGATCTTGAACAAGAAATAAGTGAAGACACATTCGATGAACATGACAGTGGAACTGACTCTAAGAATGAACAATCAGATGAGAAGGTGTGTGCTATCACAACCAGCAACCATGACCTCGAATAGTTCACATTCTTAGTGTATATTAACATTTGACTTGACATGTAACTCTCAGCAAGGCATCTCTGAGAAGGTTTGCTGATACAGGGTTCTTCTTCCCCAGACCATGCGAGTACTGGGCATCTACAGACTACAGCACTATGGGCATGCCCATTCCCCACCAACAGCTTTAGAAATTTTGATGGTCTGTACCATCTGGTCTCAAAATAACTTATTGCTATTTCTTAAATTTTGTGCTCCATAGTACTATAAAGTAGCTTGAAGCATGACATAAAAAAAAATTGCAAAGTGTTTTGTGCCATTCATCAGTAGGCTGTTGCGGTATTTGAAAAAAACCCGAAAACTGATATCGGAAAAAAAGTACCGATATATCGGTATTTTTTCACGATTGCACTTTGCTTAATTTTATGCAAAATTTGCTTAATTTAAGGCAAAATTTTCTGTTTTCAAATTATGCCAAACAGCCACGATGTAACAGCTTTGACTCATCGGTGCGCGATATTTTCAATGAAGTTTGAGGTCAGTGATCAGTAGCCTGTGAAATGTCTGCTTTAGAAATTGAAAATGCATAGCATTGATTACCGCACTGGATAAACCATGTGTGATATTTTTGACCGGGAAATTTGTTTCAAAACATATTAAACTGCGAATTTGAAACAAAGATTGTCCTGTCTCACCATGCAGATAAACAATGTCCAATAAGGTTAGTTTTTGCTTTTTCTAAAACTGTAATCCACCATTGTTTACGTTCTAAAAGTTCACTTTTTGACAAGCGAAATAATATATTATGCACCTTGCAACGCCAACGTAAAAAACAAACGCGTTTGTCGTTTTAGCTCCCACTCTAACCTGAATTTATGGATTTTAGCACATTGATCGTCTTTGTAACTCCAATCAGCACTTGAAAAAGCTTTAATAGGACGTTTAAATATACAAACATAAATGTGATATCGATAATACCGGAAAATATCGATATTCCGATATATTGAAAATTTCAATATCGAGTAATCGGTATTTATAAAAAAACGATAATTATCGGTATATAGATATACCGCAACAGCCTATTCATCAGACATCTAGCTTTATAATTAGATAATTTATTTATCCAAATCACAAACAACTAATATTCTGTGCATAATAGTGCTGAATTTCATATTCTGCCACTGTTTAACACACCGTACCAAAAGTCGCCAAAGAAGCTCAGAGAACTGAAAAAACTTGCTGAAGTGTATCGAGCAACTGTGTATAAGTCTTTTACTCTCTTCACCACCTGGTAAAGAGCAGTTTTCAAACATTCTGAACATTGTGGAACTGCTATTGATTACACCCATCTCGAATGTTGTGGTTGAATGGATGTTCTCCACAATGGCGAGAATGAAACCACACCTCCGCAACAGAATGTCACGAGATAGATTGGACAGTCTTTTGAGAATTAGTGAGGAGGAACCTTCAGTAAAGGATTATGATCCAAC